TCCAAGTGTTATTATGTGGGCAGTCTCCAAGCTTAAACACATATGTCCTTATAAAACGTTATTTGTCAGTTGGTTATAGGGAATTCCAAACACGCTTTACCATAGAAATAATTTTCTATAAAAATGGAATTAGGCCTGCAGGCCAGTCCACAGAACCCTATTTAATCCCCTACAGGCCTCAAGCGCTGTCACAAATTCACAGTCCTGGGCAGAGTTCTGGCTCTGACCGATGAGACCTGATGGCCCAGAAGCATGAGAGCAGAGAGCTCTTTGCGCAGAATTGAGAACACAGCTGCCCTTTTCTCTGGTGCTGTCCGCTGTGCCTTGCTGCATCCTTCCTCATGCACAAAGGGGACCTCTCTCTCTCTCCAGCCTCAGAGTGTCTGTGCCCAAGCTGGCCAGACCTCTACCCCAGCATCTGTGATTTTGAGGAACCTACTTTTCTTCCTTCTGGTGGAACCTCTTCTCCTAGCGGAGCCTTCTCAGCTGCGTGTGGGGAGAAAGCAACGCATAATTAAATAGATTTGTCCTAATACATCAACTAGTTATTTTCCTAGTCACCAACTCCTTTCCTGCCCCAAATTCAGTTCTATCAGATTTCTTTCCTAGGGTCAGTTTTGGCTTTTTACATCTTCCTTTTCTCCTCTTCTAAAGCTACAGAGCTTCTAAATTGCACCTTTTCCATAATGGTCCCATTGGAGCTTTGGCAGGGGTTCTGGTTCTGACATCAGGAGAGGTGAGCGAGGGGTGGCATGTATGTGAGACTGAGTTGATGGAAGTATACACCGACACTGGGAGCAACCCGGGCCTTGGCCTTTGGAGAGCACCTGTGGCAGGCAGCCTGGTTGATGGCGAGTCCTGTGATGGTGGTTTGGGATGCAGCTGTGCAGCAGATTTCCAGGCACCACTCAGCATTACTGAACAAGAATCTCTGAGTGTTACTAGTATTTCTATTTTCAAAGTTTTTGCTGAGCCTCACTTCCTCTTTGGAGGGACTCCTCACATCTCCAACTGCTTAGGGACACCTCTATTTAGAGGTCCCACTGGCACTTCCAAGCAAAGTTTTATGGGAAAACTTGCTCAGCTAAGGGACAGTTTACTACTACAGGGAAGACAGCGGAGAGAGGAAAACCAAGTTCATGCATGAACCTTAAGGACTGTTTGCTGTCAGGAGGGAATGGAAAAGAACCAAAGACAGAAAGGGGGCAGGTTAACAGGTTGCCCTGGCAGTCAAAGAAGACAAAGTTTCAAAGTAGGTTTGGACAGAAGCATCAAAAGCTTATTTTTCTTTGAGATATCCTTTCAACTTGGCTTTCTTCTTCTTTTTTTTTTTTAAGATTTATTTATTTATGAGAGAGAGTGTGTGAGTATGTGGGAGAGGGGCTGAGGGAGAGGAAGAGAAGACTCTCTGCTGAGTGTGGAGCCCATGCAGTGTGAGGCTCCACCCCAGGACCCTGAGATCATGACCCGGAGATTGTGACCTGAGCCGAAATCAAGAGTCAAATGCTTAACCGACTGAGCCACCCAAACACCCCTAACTTGGCTTTCACGTACCTGTTTTGGCTCAACATGGAGCAAACCCTGGCTGTTTTGCCACTGTCCGCTTAGTCCAGACATTTAAATAACCCAGCATGAGCTGGTAAGTGGTGGGAACTGAAGATTTTCGTTTTTCTCATGTCTATTAGGCTTAACCATTCATAAAGTCCTTTCATTAATAGCAAAACAGTAACTGACCTGAGTTGCTCCCACTGCCCATTGCCATACCTTCTCCATTCAGCATCAGAATGATCTTTCCACAGTGTCACTCCTCTGTTTAAATCCTTTCAGTGGTTTCCTTTCATTGCACTGTAAATAATACCCAAATCCCTAAAGGCCTGGGAGAGCGTGCATGATTCGGTCCTCGCCCACCTCACTCACAGCTGCTAGGCCCCCAGTCATACTGCCATTTCTGAGAGCTCACCAAGCTTGCTCTTTACTTACCAAGCTCTTCCTGGCTTATGGCCTGGTAACTTTTCCTTGTCTTCCTTTATGTATCATCTTGGAGGTCACTTTTATGACTGTTCTTTCCAAATCAGGCCCCCTTTCTATCAGTCTCTGCTACAATACCCTTTTACTTATCTTATATCCATTATCACAATCTATAATTATTCTTGTTAGCTCTTCACTTTTTCTTTTTCTTTTCTACAGTCTCATTAGAACTTAAGCTTCTTGAGGACAAGGATGTTTCAGCTTCACCATTATATCCCCAGGGTACGTAGCACCTCGCATATAGTAAATTGTTCAACAAACAGTTGTTGACTGAGTGAACTATTCAAAGCAAGGCATTCATTCACTCAACAAATATTTATTGAGTGGATATGTGCTAGACTCTGAGGATACAATAGAGGACAGGGCAGATACAATTTGAAGGTGGCCTAGGCCAAAGGAAAAGGACAATGCTTATGTCTAGGAGTAATCCCTTGATAGAATGATAATTTATTGGTCCATAAGCACTTTTTTTTTTTTTTTGGTTATGTGCAGGCAGTAAACTTAGTGTCACCAAATGACTAAGTTAACACCATGCCTGCTTTTGGATAGACTGAAGTATAAGGAACAAAGAAGGAAACAGGATAAGAAAGAAAAAGGGGGGGAAGAAGAAGGTAAGGTGAATGGTTCAGTGATGTCTCTATTCTCAGAAAACTTAAAGAAATTATCCTTCTCATTCAACACTTATAACAGAGGGCAAGATTAGACCATACGAAATGTCTTTAAAACACGGCAAAATATATACATTCAGGTGAGTGTGTATTTCAAAATAATCCTCCAGGAAAGTTCTATATTTATTCTAATGATGCCACAATCCTCAAAAGACTCATAAGACTGCCTTCTTCCAATTGCACCAAGAGATAACTTATTAAGCATAGAAAAAAATAAAATTTACTTTTGATCCCCCATGGTATGTCCCAGATTGACTTTCTAGTATATTCACTGGATTTGCTTTCCCTGAACCCACTGAGATTATTTTAAAAATCAAATTCATTCCTAAAGGGCAAAGATTCATCATACAAAGAATATTCTTAAACATATGCACTTAAGTCAATCCTCAAAAGAGAATTCCAGAAATGTTTGAGCAAAGACAGGATCTTTTCAATGACTACTATAAAGAATATGGAATTCATTGGATAATCAATTAAATCTAATCAATCTGACATCATTAGAAGTGAGGTATTCTAGATAATACAGGAATATAAGAAAATTTCTCAGATAACCAAAGTTATAAGCAGAAGATTAAAAAATTATTTATTTCATGGAATCCTAGGATGTATGATTCTGTACTTTTTATATGGAGTATAAATAAAAATAAATTTTTATTTTTCTCACCCGGGGTCCTCATGATGGCCATCAGTTATTAGCCCGCGTTATAAGAACACTCTTATATTCTTAAATATAAGAACACTCAAAGTTACTGATGAGCGTAGGGCTGTCTCTATGGCATACCGGGTCAAATTTCAATGTTTTTCAAGTTTTTGCTTGGATTTATAGTTTTTCTGTCTTCTTATGCATAACCAATATTTTAGCTGCCATTCCTTATTGTTATCAGTAAGCCTGGCTCTTACAAACTTCCTGCTTATGAAATAGCTGCTTATAATAAGGGTGAATATGGGGTAATATGGGTGAATACGTAATTGTGAAAGGGCAGAGTTGGTGGGGTGGAATGAAGATTCATGTAACTACAAGGTAAACTATCTTTTTTTTTTTTTTTTTTTTTTGTAAACTATCTTTGCAAGAGGCAGGTTATTGGTATGGCTGAGTCAGGAAGAAATGGTGGGTGGCAATCAGCACTGCAGCTGTTCATCTTATCCCAGGATGGACCAGAGATAAGACTTGTTTTCCTGTGAACTGGACAGGACTTCTAGCCTGGAGCAGAGACAGATATAACCCAGGCCAAAGAGTTGATGAGAAAGTTCTAAGACGATTAACTTAATTCTAAGCTGCTTGCTACCCTCTCCTAGACTTTTCCTCTGGGAGCAAATAGCTGCCCTTGTAAAGAACTAAAGAAAGATTACAAATCTTTCTTATAACTCATAAAATGAAATTAACAAAATAAAAAACAAACTAAAAAAATCATAGGAAGAATGAAAACCAAATAGCCAATTTTGCCTTCTGTGCAGAGAGAGTAATAGAAGACAAAAATTCTTGCCCTTGTGGAACTTGTGTTCTTCTGGAATGTAATAGTTATATCAATAAATGTTAATGGGATAACATCTCCCATTAAAGACTCCTACATTTGATAAATATTAATAAAAGCCCAAAATGTGTGTTATATATCAGGTATGCATTTAAAGCATAAAAAAAACATAAAAAAATAAAAAACATCAAAAAGAATGGATAAAGACATGCCAAGCACATGAAAACAAAAAGAAAGCAAGCAGGGTACAAATAAGATTAAAGACAAATTAACTGAGCAACAGTATCTAGGAAGGCTAAATGAACAAGCTTTTCAGTTTCCCTTTACTACCTGAATGCCAGAGGTATCTTGATGAAGAGACCTCAATAAGAGGTGTTGATAAATAACAAAGAAGAAGAGTAGGAGCTAATAAAAGGAAAAAGTGATGCAAAAAGATGTTTTTCAGTTGGAAAATTATAGAATCCACCAATTATTGGCCCAGCTGAAATTCAGTAGTATAAGATCACACAAGGTCTCTTTGATACTTTTCAATAAAAATCTAACACCAAATGCAAAGTGGATTCCACCTCTGACTATGTGACTCTAAGCGTGCCATTTAACCAACTTGGGTTTCAGTTTAATCAACGTCAGGTTAGGTGTTGGGATGCGGTGACCTTTCCTGTGAAATACATCTTTAATGCCGTAATTTCACTGTCATTAATATATGTAAGACCTTGATATTTCAAATATAGATGGAATACTGACTTAAAATATTTTTGGAAGAAATTATCGTGGATAATTGAAAAGCGAAAAGTGTGGATAATTGAAATTATCGTGGATAATTGAAAAGCACCTTTCACTTTTCAGTGTTGCAACCTCTTCCTTTGTCTGACTCAGAAGAGTTTTGGTTATCTGTAGTTCATTTTCTGCAAGGTTAATTCTTCTTTTTATGTCTTCTTCTTGCCTTTCTTTTGCAGTCAGTTCTTCCTGTAAAGTTTTATATATTTGTTGACAAGCCATTAAAGAATCCTCTCTCTCTTTAAGCAATCTGGTATGCCTAAAATGAACACGATAAAAAAAAACACACCAATACACATTAGACACTATTTTTTATGTTTATTAAAGATATATGAAAGTCTCATTTGACACTGAAGACTATAACTGTAACTTAAAAAAATCTTTTAATACTAAGAAAATGGGTAGTTCTGTGATATTAAAACTTCCCTATTTAGGCAGAGGCAAGATCAATGAACAACTTTAGGATATTATAAACTTGAATTAGGTATTATACATGTGAATAATACAATAAGAAAAACTAAGTACATGTCAAATAAAATGATAAAGTACAGTTTCAAATTCAATGACTGAAATTACTAATTTAAAAATTTGCAGTGTGTACCGTGACTCAGAAATAACGGATTCAAACTTCAGTTTTCTAAGTTCTCTTTGGCAGTCATCAGCTTCATTAGATTTATTCCTAAAATAATATAAAAAGAGGTTCAGATATTTTATTCCCAAAGAGTTCAAATATATTTTCCTTTTTTAAAAACATGTTTTTCCTTTATTACTTTTCTTATCTTTATATTCTATTTGTGATGACATATGTGTATACTTTCTTGAAGTTAGAAATACACAATCGAGAGGTTTTTCTCTGTTAAAAAATAACCTGTTAGTACAACCATGTGTTTTTCTATATCATTATCTTATTCATCCATAGAAGAAATTTCTATTATTATTTAGGTCACTGAATAAACATTCAGGTCACTTCTATAAAGGCTAAATAGACTCCTATCAGACTAATCTGCATATAAATAAAAAGTCTAAACTTTGGACAATATTAAAAAAAGAAAATCCCTATTGAAAGGCATTGGAAAGTAAACAAAAACAATAAGATTCTGGAGGGAGGCTGATACTTGGAATAAGGTGACAGCATGGGGTCAGGTTTTGTTCTGTTTTATTTATTTATTTTTTTTAACGATTTCAAACCTGAGGCCCCAGTCTGCACCATGCAGGGGAACTAACATTCAGATAGAAAACGCAGTCAGTCTGACCTAAAGAGCTAGAGCTCAGTGTCTGGGTCAACCATAGGTGCTAAAAAATGAAGAGTGACTCAAAATAGGAGAGAGTCAAAGAGAAGGAGTCCCAATACTGCATATAGAGCCTACACACACATCTGGCTGAGCCCTGAACTATATACATGCACAGGGCAGACTCCAAGTGGGCTAAAGATAAAAGAATTAAACAGAGATTTGAGCTGTTACCCTAGAGACAAGAGTTTACAGTCTGAGGCCAACCAAATGAACTATCTGCTTAAAGCAACACCCACCTCATCCCTACCAACAATAGTATTTAGATAAATATAACAGAATCCAGCATTTCCATAATAAAACATTCACAATGCCCAGAATATAATAAAAATTACTCAACACAAGAAAGAAAGAAAAGCATGACCTATTCTCAAGAGAAATGACAGCTAATAGGGACTGCCTCTGAGATGACCCAGATACTGAAATTAGCAGACAAGGATTTTTCAAAGAGCAGTTATAACTCTGCTCAAAGACATAAAAAAAATCCACTGTAATTAGTGAAAAGATGATAAATCTCAGTAGAAAAATAAACCATTAAAATGAACCAAATGGAAATTCCAAAAACTGAAATTAACATATGCCTTGATTTTATATAATTAGGTTTTGTAACAATACTAAAAACATTAATATATTAAAAGTAATATTCCAGTTTAAGTCTATATAGGCTGGGATGCCTGGGTGGCTCAGCGGTCGAGCGTCTGCCTTTGGCTTAAGGTATGATCCCAGAGTTATGGGATCGAGTCCTGCATCGAGCTCCCTGCAAGGGAGCCTGCTTCTCTCTCTGCCTATGTCTCTGCCTCTCTCTCTCTCTGTGTCTCTCAGGAATAAATGAAATCTTTTAAAAAAATAAGTCTATATAGGCTGCTTACAATAAGTCATTATCTGAAAGTACCATAAAATACCTTATAAACTGTACAACGAACTATCAGTGAGTTTTCCCTGCTTGCAGAATGACTTTAATTTCTAATAAGTAATAATTTATTTGCATCATGAACAGGAACATTTATTCTTAAACCATTTTATTGTAAAATATGAAAAATTATAAGCTATAGAAAAATTGTATTAAACAATTATATAATGAATTATTATAAGGAGAAAACTCTTGTAACTAACATCTACATAAAAACATAAAACCTGACCAGCTACCCTAGAAGTTCCATGTTCTTGGTTGCAGTCATAGCCAGCCAACCCTCTCCTGAAAATAACCATTTTCATGAATTTTATGGTAATCACTTTGATTTCCTTTAGTGTTTTATTACCCAAGTTTTATCTTTGAACATTATATTTTTTTATATTAATATATTTTTTAAAATTTTTATTTATTTATGATAGTCACAGAGAGAGAGAGAGAGGCAGAGACATAGGCAGAGGGAGAAGCAGGCTCCATGCACCGGGAGCCCGACGTGGGATTCGATCCCGGGTCTCCAGGATCGCGCCCTGGGCCAAAGGCAGGCGCCAAACCGCTGCGCCACCCAGGGATCCCTGAACATTATATTTTTGTTTAACTTTTTCTTTTGTAAAAAGAAACATCCTATTTTCTTATCTACTTTTTTTAAAATAGATTAAGGAGCTCACATACAATGAAGTACATTCACTTTGATGTGTCTGACATATATAAATGAACCAGTGACACCATCACCAGGATCAAGCAGTACATAAGCATACTCTGAGCCTAGATCTTGGTCTCTAATGCCGCTCCTATTCAAAGGAACCAAGACTCAGAGAAATGGCTGATTCCAAGGCTATGGCAGAGTAAGTACATCTGAGATAGCTGGTTATGCCAGAAGGTGAGGAAGTGCTTATAAAGATGAGGAAACCGTGTTCTGATGTCACAGGAGGCAGCTTGAAGGGGCTCCTACCAGTTAAACCTAGATAATCTATGTGTCAAAACAATTCAGTCTAATAATAAATTACAAACCATTAAAAAGTAACAGTTTATCAGTCCATACCAATAATAAATAAATAAGTAATGAGAAGTGAGCCTCTTGCTTAAAGTAGGATACTGAGGGCTAATGAATGGAGAAGGAGGGCTGGAGTCAGAAACCACTGTGGTAAAAAGTTTAGATAAGGCAAAATCATTAATGGATGCTATATTGAGGGATAAATTTTGATGATGAGGAGAGTATTCACAGTGTATTTAAAGTGTCTCTTATAGATTTTTTACTAGTTAAAAAGGAACAAAAACCCCCAGGAATAAAGGAGTGAAAAAAATTGAGCAATACCTTTACCAGGTGATCAAAATTAACATCACCAAACATCAAGGGCAGGCAGATGGTCATAGCCTGAGAAGGACGTATCTCTAGAGTGCCTGCCCTTAATCCAATCAAAAGGAAACATTAGACCAATAAAAAAAATGAAAAATTTTATTTAAAAAAGTTTGAGAGGGATGCCTGGGTTGCTCAGTGGTTGAGCATCTGCCTTTGGTTCAGCGCGTGATCCCAGGGGGTCCCAGGATCGACTCCTACATCGGGCTTCCTGCATGGAGCCTGCTTCTCCCTCTGCCTGTGTTTCTTCCTCTCTCTCTCTCTGTGTGTGTCTCTCATGAATAAATAAATGGAATTTTTAAAAAAGTTTGAGAGGTTCTGCATTCTTCAAAAAAATGTCAATATCATATAAAAAAAGACAGACTGGAAATATTCCAGAATTTAGGAGGCTAAAAAGACATGCCAAGCAGGCTGACTACCTGGTCCCATACTAGAGGAGAAAATGCTATAAAGGCCAACTAACAAAATTAGAATATAGATGGTAGATTAAAGTATTGTATGTAGGGGCGCTTGGGTGGCTCAGTAGGTTAAGTGTCTGCCTTCAGCTCAGGTCACGATCTCAGGGTTCTGGGATGGAGCCCCACATGTGACTCCCTGCTCAGTGGGGAATCTGCTTCTCCGTCTCTCTCTGCCCCTACCCCCACTTGTGCACTCTCTCTCTCTCTCTCTCTCAAATAAATAAATAAAATCTTAAAAAAAATAAAGTATTACATGTAAATTTATGACATGGTTTATTGTGCTTATGTAAAGCATCACCATCCTGAGGAAAGGCAGGCTAAAGAATTTAGAGGTAAAGAGTCATGTTGTATGTAACTTATCCTCAAATGATTCAGGAAAGAAATGTGAGTGTGTGTGTGTGTGTGTGTGTGCGTGTGCGCGCGCGTGCACATGTGTGGAAAGAGAGAGAGAGAGAGAGAGAGAGAGAGAGAGAGAAGGAGGGAGCCAGGGAAACCGTGAGGGAGAAAGCAAACGGGTTAAAATGTTAATCTGGGTAAAGTCTTTGTGAGTGCTCTTTGTACTATTTTATGTTTACAACTTTTTGTAAGTTTGAAGTTATTTCTCAATAAAACATTTGAAAAGAAGGAATAAGGAAAAGATTGATATGCCATTGGAAAAGTGGGCAAAGGTGGTGCTCAGGTGAAGGAAAAGTGGGCAAAGGTGATGCTCAGGTGAATCACAAGGGAAAGAATTCTGAGCCAAATATGCAGGAGTACAATGTTTCATCAAACTAGTATTTTTTCTTTTTTTAGTTATTATACCCATGATTAGCTAGGAAGTGGAGAAATGGGTATTTGCAAACACTGCTGAAATTATAAATCAGTATAATCTTATCCAAAGTCAATGAATGAGTCATTATGCATTAAAAGCATTAAAATTATTTAAGTTGGATTCTAGCAAAAATTATCCAAAGGAAATGCTTGTGTGTGAGTAGAAAGATTTTATTTATATGAATTTCAAACTACCTTACTTATAAAAGTGAAAAATTTAGAAATTCTAAAAAACAAAAGATTAGTAAATGAGTTCTGATTCATCCACAGATTATAATACCGTATAGCCGTTTAGCAGGTACCTATAAATGTATCATGTAATGACACGGGGGAAATGTCCAGGATATATCGCTAAGTGAAAATACGTTAAAAAAAAAATATACACCATCAATGTTGAAAATCCCCCAATCCCATCCTTTATTCTTTCCTTTCCAGTTCTCCTGCTCCCCAATCACAAGGCCTCCACCAATAATAAATCCTGTCTGACTGAACTGACATGTATTTCTCTCCCTCTCCACACTACGGCCTTATACCCGACTACTCACTTCTCCCTTAAGAATGCAACACCCTCCCAGCTGGGCTCCCCTAATTGCTCCTGTACTCTCACTCCAGTCCGTTCTCCAGATAATTGCCCTGCTGACCTTTTAAAACAAATTGGATCAGTTCACTCTCTTGCCAAACATCCTCCAATAGTTTCCCATTGCCCTCCACGTAAATCTAAAATCCTCACTTGGCTCTGAGTGCATTGGCGTATTAATTTCTTACTGTTGCTGTACAAATTGCCACAACTTTAGTGGTTCTAAACAACACAAACTTATTATCTTATGGTCCTAAGGTAAGAAGTCCTAAAATCAAGACCTCACAAGGGCTGCGCTCCTTCTGGTAGTTCCAGGGGAAAATCTGTTTCCCTGTCTTTTCTAGCTCTTAGAGACCACTGGCATTCCTTGGCTTGTGCCCCCTTCTTTTATCTTCAAGTCACAACATTCCAAACATTGCTTCTACCTTCACAACTACTTTTGTGACTCTGATCCTGTTGTTTTCCTCTTAGAAGTACCTTTGGAATTATATTGGGCCTGCCTGAATAATCCAGGGTAATCTCCCTTTCTTAAAATCATTAATTTAATCACATGGGCAAAGTTCCTTTTTTCATATAGAGCAATATACTCATAGATTTAAGGGATTAGGACATGAGAATCTTTGAATACCATCATTCTGTCCACCACAGCTGGCCTTCCTTGTGTCTTGAACTTGGTCATCAAGTTCAACCAGCCTTCCTCACGTCGTCAACTGTGCAAAACATCATTAACACTCTGCCACTGTAGCTGGCATTCCTGGTTACCTTCTAGACAGGCACTACAGCCTTCTTCCTGGCCGTCAGAGCCCCATTATCATCTGCTCTCAGGATAAATCCTACTTGTCTAAACTAATTGTGGGTAGTCTTGTCAGCCCGGCCAGTGATTCAGTTAGGAGAGGGTATGTGAAAGGTTCCAGCCAAAGAGCTGTAAAGAGAGAGCTGTGTTCTGGTGGCTTCTGGGGCATTTTTCCTCACTTCTAAGGAAACACCAGAAAAACAGGCCCTTCCTGTCTCTGGGGTGGTTACATCTGGATGTGGTACAACCTCGTAATCACAAGGGACTTAGTAGTTCTTTCATAACTCAGTTTTCTAAAAATGGATACTCTGCCCATTTTCTGTTTTGAGATGTCCTTACATAGGGCACGAAGCACCAGTTTTATAAACTGAAACAAAAGCATCAGCATATCTGTAATTGTAGAGTGACTTCCTCCAGCCAACTTGTTTGATGGACTTTAGTGAGGTGGTGCTTCTCACTCCAGCTCCAATCTACTCTGACTCTTGTCGTTTCTCAGCATTTACATTATACATTATGTTAAAAATGTAATTAATAAAAATACCACAAAACATGTTAATATTAAATGGGAATGTTCCTTGTATATATAGAAAATTCTGTGCCAATTTATCAAGTGAAAATCAAGTCATGTCACAACCAATGAGCCCTATTCCTTTTCCTCAGTATGCTTACTTCTGTGGTTAGCTTCTCTCCTAACTTGCCAGGAGGACTGTGCTCCATATGCTGAGTCTTGGTGGGTCCACAGATTCCCTTTTAGTTTAGTCACATACCAGCCCTACTCCTCCATTCCTTGAATGTGCCTTTGTCACTTCCTGAGATCCAAGAAGCCAAAGTCACAGTAGCTGTGGCCTGATTAGGTTGCCCTCCACATGAGACGTCCATATGGCCAAAGCCCTCCCTAATGTTACTAGAGGGTGGGGAACAATGATTTGGGGTGGGGGAGTGGAGCAATCGCCATCTTGCTTCTCTCTTTCATGCTTATTCTCATCCAGAAAGTCACTTCCTGGGCCCAGTGAGTTATTCAAGGGCCCTTCCCCTCCCGTCCACTCATTCCTTCAACCTCAGCCATCATCATACACAGACGGCCCAACTATTGTATTTACTGTACTATTCGCCACAGTGTTGTAAAGCTTGAATATTTGCCTTTTTGTTTTTCAAAAACAAATTATTTTGCTACAGATAATTCGAGTATACATTAATTTGGTGGGGCATTTTTGGAACTTGTTCTTCCTTGTGCTGTTAAGAATTTTATTAAACACATTGTACTGAGGAGTAGTCCGTAGTCAACACAACATTTGGTTGCTAAGCATTCTAAATATTTATATTTCTTATGAAGCCCATTCTTCCAAAATATACGAACTGAAAACCAGAGCTACCAGATTACATATCACAAAGTAAAAAAAATTTATTTTTCAAAGATTACACAAATTCTATTTTAGTGTTATGATTATAGATATATGAGATTTATACCATAAAGTAATTTTTTAAAACTTCTGAAGTAAATTCATTTCTAAAAGCAACAGTGGTCTGGGTATTTTACAAGGGCATTTTCTTATCACTTGTTTTCCAATATTATTCTTTTTCACTTATATAAAGCATAAGTACTCCAGCATTTCAAAGATACTCAATGATACTTCTTCAAAGATACTCTCTTTTTGAACTTAAAATTCGTAATTTTAAGAAACAACTTCAAAGTTGTTTCTTCTGGGTGAATAATAAAGAGACAATGTTAGGAGGAAAAAAAAATCAGAGAATATTTCACATTAAGTTACATTCGAATAGCCAGGGGGAAGTTTTAATATATGAGTAGGTTGAGTTTCTTATTGAGGTAAGGGAACATTTCATGTATTTAAAAACATTTACAGGTCCTTTCGTAAACAATACAGGCCAGAAAAGTGCCTGAGAAAAGCAGATCACACTCACACAACTACATCACCGCCAAAAGAAGCATAGAGAACACATGGTAGGGGTAGGGGAGGTCCTTCCGAAATCTTACAGGGTGTCCAATGTTTACCACCTCACCTGAGCTTTTCTTTACAGTCGTCGATCTCGGTCACTGCCTTCTGAAGTTTTAGCCCAAGTGCCTCTGCTTGACATTGTAAATCTGAAATGACACAATATATTCATCTGGTTAGTACATTCAAAATGTCCAGATATTTTCATAGTGTAAGTCATATTCTTTTAGAATTGCCACTCCGCTCCTGAAGCACACTACAGCTGTTTATTACTCCACTTTGCCTGGATATGCAGCTCATCTCTTCTGAAACTCCATAAAATTAATGGTTTTTGACAGATCCGATTTATTGGCCGCTTTCCACCCCCAACATCTTGCTAATTTTCAAACAGCTAATAGGCTACATTTTACTAATATTTTTAAAGGAAATTTGTGTAGCTGACACATATATGAATTTCTGATCATGCGGCTCACCTCTGAAACACCTGACTGTCCGAGCTCACGCTTGTGGCCTGGAACCAAGAAGCATCACTGAGGCCTCCTTGTAGAAATGAATTAGACAAACCATGCGCAAGGCTCCCAGTAAAGAATTTGTTAACTCTGGGTAGCATCTAATAGGCATTTTAATGACTTTCAAAGCCAAGAAAATATAAGCAGGAAATTGGCTTCCATAGCCTGGGGAATTCAAGCAGTGTTTGAGAAAGATTATTCAAGCAGCCGTGTCTAATATGTGTACGGATGCAGAACTGAAACGAAAGCAGAAAAGAACAAATGGCTTGAATGAAGCGGGTCCTGCCATTGGCCTGTGCGTGGGAATTATGATCCGAAACCCCACTACAATGACAGGCCTTCTTGCCACTCTTTTTGAGAGAAAGGTAGAAAACAAACTTACACAGATGGACTAACTGGTTTCTATGGAGAAAATAACTGAACATGCTGGAACTATAAAATTTCTATGTTACACCCGCTCAGATATATTTTAAAAACATATTTTTGATAGTAAACTTTAAAATCTTTATGCCTCCATACAAATATATAACATTTCTATACATATTGTCAATCTGCCTTCATAACTTTGTTTTATGAAGAAGAGCCAGTTCCTTTAAATTAGAAAACAAAACAAAAATCAGTCTAAACGAATGTTTTAGTTAGAATTTACCAGACATTACTATGAATCTTCATGTCTATCCAGTACTTTCACATATATTCATTTTATCTCTCAAACTTCTATCTAGGTACAAATAGCTCCACTTTTCAGATGAGGAAACGTAAAGGAGATCCTCTCTGATTCTCTTGCCTGGTACCTTACAATATACTTTTTAGCTTTATTTATTTATATGTTTTGTTTGTTTGTTTGTTTGTTTGTTTTTTGAGAGAAGGAGAGAGGCAGAGAGAGAGAGAGAATCTTAAGCGGGCTCCTGCATAGCGTGGAGCCCAAAGCGGGGCTTGAACTCACAACCCTGAGATCATGACCTGAGCAGAAAACAAGAGTCGGTCGCTTAATCTACTGAGCCACCCAGGGGCCCCTTGCCTAATATCTTACAATGAATTAATGCATTAATAGCCAACAGTTAAACTGACTGAAGGTTTTTAACTCAGCCGAAGGGAACAATTTGAGAGAATGGCCCCTCAAAGTACAAGTCAGTAAGGCCTTAATTGATAGTATCTGTAGGGTACATTTCCCCCAGTTATCGAGTGACATCAGTGTAAGAGGGAAAAGATAACAAACATACAGATAATTTATTTTTCAGTGCAACTTTCTGAAACAAAGCAAGCTCTTATGAATGTTGCACAATGGATGGCTTTGTCATTAAGTTCATCTAGTCTTGCAGAGGGGTTCTATTCCCACAGGCACAGCCAAAAGACTTCAATCCATCCTCTGAAGAATAAGGAGGGAAGGTGGTTAGTGTTTATTAATGGTACACTCTGTGGCACTGTGTTAAAATGCTTTTTCCTGTATCATTTCATATTGTCAGAACTACCATGAAAAACAGATGCACATTTTATTTTTACTAGTGAAGATTTCAAAGATCTGAGTAATTAACTTATCAAAGGACACAAAACTAGTTAGAAGTGATCCCGTGATTCAAATTCAGATTGGACTCATCCCCAAGTCTTTATTTTTCTAACTCTCCTACACGGGCTCTCAAAACATAAAAGCTACACGGGGGAAGTATTTGTCCATGAAAGTATGGTTGGCGTAGCTATAGATCTGTTTAACATACCTAAGAGTCTTTGAAGACTTATACTTAAGATAAATGAAAAGCATTATTTTACATAAAATATGTAGTAAATTAGCAGCTGGCTTAGATTTAATTTTTGAAAGTTTAAAAACTAATATAATTAATGAGAGATAGTAAGACAAATATGGGATCATTGTGACCAACTTTATGAGACTGGCTTCAGAGAGAACAATTATGCCTTCTTATTAATGTCCCTTGGTGCTTTTGTCAGAACATAATCTTAAACTGGATGAAGCATTAGTCTGAGCCTATGTGATCAAGTTATCACTTCTAAATACAGTTCTTGTTAAGAGGAAGAACGAATTACCTTGAAAACAAATTCTAAATAGTTGGTCCTTGATATGTGAATTTTATGCAATTAATTCTCAATTACCCGATAATTAGTAGAATAGTAGATAGTAAAAATGGCAGTTAATTAAAACCCCATTTTTATAGCATTGGAAGGGATTCTTGTTTTTGTTTTTGTTTTTTTATTTGAGAGAGAGAGAACACGAGAGAGCACCAGAGAACGCAGGGGAGAGGCGCAGAGGGAGGGGGAAACAGAGAAGTGGAGCAGATTCCCCACTGAGCCCGGAGCCCAAGGTGGGCCTCAACACAGCACTGGGGCTCACAAGCCTGAGATCTCAGCTGAGCCGAAATCAAGAGTCGGAGGTTTAACCAAATGAGCCACCCAGGCGCCCTGCTTTGGAAAGTATTCTTTTCTAGAATTTACTAGGTTTAGGAAAATAAACTACACAGTCATGATGCACTCAAGAAAGGAAAAGCAATGACACTTCCCGGTATTATTCTCTCTGCATAACCACCTAAACCTCCTTTTCTCCTTGTTTCAAGATAAGCGTAGATAGCTTAGGCTAATTCACAGTGTCCGATGAGAGGAGAAGCCACTTCCTTCAGAAAAAAAAAAAATTTTTTTTAAAGATCTTTTATTTATTCATGAGACACACACACACACACACACACACACACACAGAGAGAGAGAGAGAGAGAGAGAGAGAGAGGCAGAGACCCAGGCAGAGGGAGAAGCAGGCTTCCTGCAGGGAGCCCGACACGGGACTCGATCTCAGGGCCCCGGGGTCACGCCCTGGGCTGAAGGCAGGCGCTAAACCACTGAGCCCCCCAGGGATCCCCACTTCCTTCAGAAAATTGACTATGAATTTAGTACCTCTGAGTCAAAATAGGGAAAGGAAATAAATGTTTTACTCTACAACACGGAAACCACTGACGGCTGCCATGTGAAGTAAACAGAAACAGAAAATACAAGTAACGTCAACAAAGAAATCACTTTACATAAACAGAGAACATACTACTTAGAACTGAGAAGAAAAAAAGATTCATTATGATTGATCCATAATGTAAACTGACCAGTAGTGTATAATGAAGAGTTAAGACATTTCCATGGCTGTTTCTTTGTTGTTGTTGTTGTTGTTTTTACTTTTGGTTACATTTTCTCTAATAAAGAAGTGCTAAGAATTGTTTTAAAAATACACAGAACATATCCTTTCTGTTCTGAATAAGGAGGAGGCAAGCTATTGGTTTATTATTGGTTCTGGGAGACTAGCTGGGTTGTTTTGTTTTTGGAAGCAGAGTGCCCAGTTTCTGTCCTTAATAGAGGAGCACAGTTAGGATAAGCACCAGAGAGATTAAGCCACCTGCACAAGACAGCGCCTTCAGTTCCTGAGGCAAGGAGTTCTTAAATAAGTGTATTGTTCTGTGCAGTCCTTCTCTATAGTTAAATAAATTCAACTTCAATTTTCTGTCATTCAGCATGACATTGGATTATGAGGCAAAAGGCCCTAACTGCCTACAAAAAGAAAGGAAGCATTGGCTTTAAACACCATGCAGATGTAAGGCGGAACCCATGGAAACAATCCAAAATTTACAACAGCAAATTCTACTATGATGTGACTGCGTTCTTTACAGATATTAAATAAGAAGCAAATGATTTTAAATGAACAAGACAAAAAAGAGCTCTTAGGCTCTCTTCATACGAAGCCAGCTGCTTGCTGGATAGCGTTACACAGGCATCAGATTTGGGGTAATTAGTCATTTAAGGGAACACTGCTATTCCGAAAGGTTTCTAGAAACTGCAAATACAAAAGGTATTCATAGTTAGCTATTTTATAGAATGATTAAAAAAATCCTTATAGTCACTTGGAGAATATATTTAGTATAACATTCGAGAGAACAATAAATAGAACCTTTATAGTGGAAAAGGTATTTCAAGCTTAAAGCTTTCTGGATAAACATGCCCCCCCCCCCAAAAAAAAAAATCTGGTTCAAAGTGGGAGGAGGCTGATGGTCGGTTCAAGAAGAAGGAAAGAATAAGCAAGTAGAAAAATTGGCCCCTAGAGACCCCGATCCAGGGAGATTTTTTTAAAATGACACACTGAAGGCTGTATGCTTTTTTAAATGGTAGAGATCATTGAGGAAGAGGCTAAACAAAAGTTCACAGTTGTTAACACACGCCTATGACAGGGTGACATAAAGGTGCAGCGCATGACCTCTGGAGCCCGACTGCCTCATTTTGAAATTCCAGCCCCGCTTCTATGAGTTGTGTGACTTTAGGTGCTTTCGTTTCCTTATCTACAAAATGGTTACTGCAGCACAGGATTGAGAACTAAGAGACTTAAACGTACGTAGAGGGAAGAGCGTCAGGCCCATGGTGAGTCCTCCCTGCGAGCTCTTATCAGTGGTGGCCTTAGTGAGGCCACCTGGCTTTCACCCCCACTCCCTCTCTGAATCCCATTGCTTTTCACCTTAAGGACCTTGTTCTTGCAGTTGGGCCAGGTGTCACCTTGTAGGGGGGAGGGCAAAAATGTAGGCTTTTAGCCACATCTTTTTCTTTAACAATATACAGAGCAACTGTGGCCATATGTTGAAATTCGTCAAATATGGGTGATGGATTTG